CTTGCAATAAGCCCTTCACCGCCTCGGATTCTCACAGCCGATTACCGTAGCAGAGTTGCTGCAACTGAAATGAGAGTGTGAAAATCATCCCTGTGTAATCACTTCATACATGTAAATACATAGGTATGTAAGTATGTATGCATGTATGTAATGTTGCGAAATGGTACCACAGATTCTGAGCCTCGTTTGAACTGGGAACAATGAACAACATAAGGTGATGGGTCGGCGTCCTTAATCCATGCCCTTGAAGAGGGCCCTGGAGGTCCTATTTGCTGTGAGAAACCTCACCACCCAGTAGCAATCCACAGACAACATCCCGTATGGGGAGATGGCTTCCAGCCTTAGCACACAAGTCAACCAGGGATTCCATCAGGGAAAGGGGACGCAGAAGGGTGCCACCTAAACCCCAGTGGAGATCTCTCTGCCAGCTTCTGCTCCCAGGAGGAAGGTTTCCATCTCAGTAGACTGCCTGTCTATGGTGTATCTATCTTTGATACAAAGTGTCATGGTACATCCTGGGTCAACCTCAAACCTGTGAAGTCGCCGCCTCAGCCTCCAGAGTCCCTGGATCCCAAGTGTATGTCACAGCACTCAGCTCCTCTCTCCTTCTGGGAATATTCCTGAGCGCTTCCCTTCCCGGTGACTGTACACTGTGTTTGAGTCTTCTAACCAACCATGGGTTGGGGGATACTGGAACATTTGCTAAGAGAAGAGTGAAGGGGACATCCGGATGCCTCCTTTTGTTCTGACAAGTTTGGGCGAAGTACTAGGTAAAGACCCAGGTTACATAGAACTGGGTTAGAGTCCTTGCCAGCCATTGAGGATTTCCAAGCTTGCATTCCTGGATGTGTAGGATGGGGTAAAATGGAAACTATGTAACAGACCTTTCAAGATTTAAATGGACCTGACACATGGTAAGCAGTCAATAAATGGCATTTATACTTGTCCTGCTATCATTGTGGAATCATTATTTTTATGTATTCCACACACAAGCAACTATGTATCTGAAGTGTGAGACAGGCTAATGTCTTCCACAGGCTAAGAAACAACAAGGGCTGGAGAGATGGCTCAGAGGTTAAGAGCACTGACTGCTCTTCTAGGGGTCCTGAGTTCAATTCCCAGCAACCACATGGTGGCTCACAACCATCTACAATTCAATCTGGTGCCCTCTTCTGGCATGTAGGCAGAACATTGTTTATGTGATAAATCTTAAAAAAAAAAAAGAAACAGCAAACAAAGCAATACTGATGGTCATCCTGTCCCCAAGTGGATGATTTATTTAACTCTTGACTGCAAATTTAATTATGCATGTACTGATAATGCTATAGATAACGAAATACCTGATGGTGCTTCCTGAATCTACCTTTCTCTTCTGCAGAGTGTCATTGTGTGGCATACTGTAACTCTGGATTGTACTTACAGGTACCTTTATATGGCCTATGATTGAAGAAAAATGCTAAACACAACAAAGATGATCGATATTAAATATTTAACACCAGTTAGTGTTCTGTACTGGGTAATGCAACCCTGAGACAAGGCAGATATTGTCACTGTCATGGCATAGGGTAGAGGAAAAGAGGTACTATTCAAGTTGTATGTGTGTTTGTGAATATTTTAGGGGCAGTATGGGTGTGTGTGTGTGTGTGTGTGTGTGTGTGTGTGTGTGTGTGTGTGTGTAGGAGGGAGGTTCCTACTACATAGTTCAGGCTGCTCTTGAACCCTGTACGTAGCCCAGACTACATTTGAACTTTTGGTCCTGCTGGGATTACAGGAGTGCATCTGTGAAATTTAATTACACCATATATTAGCAAGTTATAAGCAACACATAATGATATATATATATACATGTGATTTAATTATACTCAGCTGTATACACATAGATGAAGACATACAGATCATATGCCTTTTCAATTGTGGTATGTGCCACAAAAGAAAGACAGAAGGTTTCTGAGCAGGTGTGTATTTCAGCCATAGCCTGGAGGGAGAATGTTTTATTCAGGCAAGATGCTCCAGGGATATATCTGGACTGCAGAGGTGGCCCGCCCGGCTGGTGTGAGCATTGGTTGCTCTTACAGGACACTAAGGTTCTGTCCCATCACCCACGTGGTGGCTGACACCCACCATGGCTCCAGTTCCAGAGGAGCCAATCCCTTTTTCTGACCCCTGAGAACCCCGGGCACTGACATGGTACATACACAGACATCCAGGAAAACTAAAACAAAAACAAAAAAGCAAACGTATATACATAAGAGAAAATGAACCCTCTCTAAAGAGATGGCTTTCTAGGGCCAGGTCCTCCCGCAGGACAGTGCTAATCAACTTCAAGAGCTAAAGAAGTCCCATTCAGTGGACATTTGTGAGAGGATATCGTGGTAGGCAACAGACATCATCAGACCCAGAGTTTCCAAGCTCTTGTAGGCTCTCAAGAGGACTTTGAATTCTACTACGAGAAAATAGGGGTAGATTTTAGGTAGTGACAAAACTCCATCCTATTTGCATAAAACCACTGGCCCTGTGAGAAAGACGGATGGAAAGGAAGTCTTGCGGAAAGAGGCAGAATGGCCAGGAGAAGACAGGGCACTGGCGGTGGGAGACATGGAGAGAAGAGGTTTGGACATGGAGTCTTAGATGACAGATTAGGTCAGAGGGCTTGACAGACACTAACCTCAGTCTCTGGCTGGATTAAAGAGCTGGAGAGAGTGGGGATGAGGAATTTGGGAGAAGGCTTGTCTTTAAAAGGGCGGGATGAAAGGGCTGGAGAGCCGACTCTGTCTATAGCAGCACTGTAAGGATGCTCTTGGGGAGGACCCAGGTTTGGTTCCCAGCACCCACAGGGCAGCTCGCAGCCATCAGTCACTCCAGATCCAGAGGATACACTGCCCTCTTGTGACCTACCATGGCAACTGCACACACATGGTGCACTTGCAGACCTAGGGGCAGATCATTCAAAAACACAACATTAAAAAAAAAATCTCTTCTTAAAAGTAAACAGTGGATGGATCAGACCAGACGGCTGGTGTGTGGCGGGCCCCTCCTCACTGTGTGTGTAAGCACAAAAGCCTGAATAAGGAAAAGCTCTTACAAAGGAGGCAGGCTAACGTTTGGCAAATCTTACGGACGGTTTGCTTTGTTTTGAGTCTAGAATAGGAAACTGTTGGGCAGATGATAGAGTGGCCACACTGAGAAAAGCCATACATGTTGGTCAGCTCCCCCCCGAGCTGTGGACTGGGGCACGGTGTGCCTCCTTATTGTCCTTTACCATCAAAAGCCACTTCTCTGCACTGTGCTCTCTCATTATGGTGTCATGGTAAAGTTTGAACTTCAAAAGATTTCCACCGGTGACGATGATGATATCCATAAATCATCTCTTTGACACAATGATGTGACTCCCAACCACTTAGAAAACTCTTACAGAGATAAAATTGTGAACTTGGAGTGGTGTGTGTGTGTGTGTGTGTGTGTGTGTGTGTGTGCATGTGTGTGTGTGTTACCATCCCAGGACTCTGGATGCTAGTCAGTAGGCAAAGGGCCCATCATTCCCTTGTATCAGTGATGAATTAAGGCAGCCCCGAGTTGTTTGGAGACACAGGAAAAGCACTGATCTTCCTGGTCCACAGTTTGAGAGCAACTGCTTAGCTTGGAAATTATCCCACAAAAGTAGCTTCAAGCCATGCCATGTGCCCAGCAGAGTTGGGGAACTTTCTTGGGAATATTTACACTTACCCTTCAGCACACTATCTTAAGAGGTTTTGTTTTGTTTTTCCCCTTTGCCTCTCATGTTCCCAAATTTGCGCTTTTCAATGTAAGCCGTTAACAAGTTCTTAGGTCGTTTACATGCTGCTACAAGACACGAGAAGAAAGGTAAAATAACAAGTTCATAGTTACTCCTTACGTCTCACCACGAGGTGGAAAAGGGCCCTTCGTCATCAGGACACAGGTGGAGGAGATAACTTCCCAGAGAGAAGACACAGCCCCATGCTTTTCTCCGCCACAGAAAACTGGGCATGCCGAATTTTTCACGGAGCACTTGTGTTAGCAGAAAAACGTTAACCCAAAAGCAAGCACACAAACAACTGTCTTTAACCTCTCAGAATTGCCTATCAGTCTGTGTTGATTTTCCTTTGAATAAATTCCCTGCACACCACACACAGTGAAAAGAAACAGAAAGAAAGATAAAAACAACACACGCTGTCCTGCCATTGATACCCCAAGGGGTCTTCCCCGCCTTGCTCTCAGCAACTTGTGTGGAAATGGAGCACAGGCTACAGGCGGGTTTCTAAAGGAAGCTCCAGCATCACCGCTCCCCTTTTGTCTGCTCTGAATCTGGGTCTTTTACCTGCGAATGGGGTGGAAGGATGATGACACCTAGTGTGAGTGCCCTGGGAAACCCACCTGTGTCTGCACAGAAGCGTGAGACATACTCCTGCAAGGCAGACAGGAGCATGCCCCGTGTGATGCACAGTGTGGAGAAGCCGGCGGGCAGGGAGCTGACATGAGCACACACGGCCTGTCAGCAGAGAAGGATCAGGGTGAATGTGGACAGAAGCTCTATCAGCCAAATTTATCACTCTAAAGGGCGTGTGTTGGATTGGCAGACGGAAGGTGATTATCTCTCCCAAAATTTTCAAGAAGAAATGTGGTGTGATAGTTGTTTTTGCTATCCTTTGCTCCGGGTCCAAACGCGTAGCTTGAAAGCATCCTATGAACTGGGACGCCTGGCTGATAACCAATGTGGATTGACACCTGGTGGCTGATTAAAATTGTTGTCAGGAGAGGGGGAGTTTAAGACAGTAGCCAAGGCAGATGGGCTCGAGTGTCCAATCGGGACCATCGTCCCTTCCGCCTAAAATGTCTGTGTGATTAGAGAACCTCTCTCCCTTCCCAATCAGACAATCATTTCGAGAGGTTTCACTGAGGCAGCTGTAAGATCTAGGCACAGTCACACCTCAGTTAGCCAGAATCTGAAAAAATAAACAAATAAGGCATATGGTGTTTTTTTCACATGGATGAGCATAGCAGTCTGAAAATCCTAGCACAATGGGAAAACAAAACTACCATTTTGTTGTTGCTGCTGCTGAAAGCCTTGACCTGTATATTTTTGCTTGTTGGGTTTCCTGAAGCCTCTCTCCAGTCCAGAATTCCTTTCTACACCTCAGATCCTGAGTTCCTCCCCCTGCAGACCCACCGGAAGGTCTGCTCATCATTTCACAAGGGCTCTTGAGCGGAGACGGGTTCCTGTTCCTTCCCAAGAAGTCTCCCTCCCCCAGAGGATGGTGTCTTCCTCCTTCCAGCTGCTCATGTCAAACACATTGGAGGTGTTCAAGAATTTTTCCATGTCCACATCTAGTTCATCAGCGATTTCTGCTGGTCCTGTTATCAAATATCTTCGTGATTCAGCCCACTCTAGCTCAAGTGATGATCGTCGTCAAGCCCCTGGAATATCAAAACAGAGTCCTCGCTGGGATGACTCTGCTCACCCAACTCCACGCCCCCAAGTCTTTTCTCAACCCAGCAGTTCATGGAGCTCTTCTAAAACTAAGCTACAGTGTAGTTTTCATCTCTACTTCAAAAGTCTAACAGACTCCCTGCTTCACTCAGAGCAAAGCCAAAGATGCCTCTGATGGCCCGGAGCCATCTAAGGACAGTGGTTGATGTTACTGTGACCTTATGACCCTCTTGAACCTGCTGCATCCAACCCTGCTGGCATCCTTGCTCCATGGGCACATCAAGCAGGCTGCCACCTTTTCATGAATTTCCTCTTCTTCCTGGGGGGTATTTTCAGCGGGATTAAATACAAGGTAGTATTACAGGACTCCGCTCAAGCATGGTTTTCTCAACCACTCTCCAAGAGATCCTCTACGGAATATCCCTCCAGCCTTATCCTTCCTCTTCGCTTATTTGTCTCCGTTACCTGACATACGGTATACTCAAGGTCCTTTAAAGGAACAGAACCAATAGAATGAGTACACCTTAAAAGGAGATTTGCCGCATTGTCTTACCTGATATGGTCTGGGTAGATCACAGTCCACAAGGCTGAATATCTCAGCAGTTCCTGGAGAAGGGCTGGTCTTCCCGTTCCTGTTGGAACCACAAAGGAAGCAGCAACAGCGGCAGCGATCGGGTAGATGAAGTTGTCAGCAGGAGTGAAGACACAGATGCTAAAAAGCAAGGCTCCCCTTCTCCATCACTTTTCATCTGCATCACCACAGGAAGCTGCTCTGCACATCTAATGTGAGCCTCCCCACCTCAAACGCCCTGGTCAGAAAAATCCCTCACAGGTGAGCCCAGTGCCTCGCCTTTTAGCTGATTCCAGAACCAGTCAAGTTGGCAGCCAGGGTTAACTGTCACGCATGCAAATGATCCATCTCACCCCCTGGGGAACACACTTTGGAGCCCGCATCAAGTACCTGAAGCTGTGCATGGCAGCAATTCCCATACACCCCCGTGCTTTTACTTTAAGTACAGATGTGACTCTGATAAAGAGCAGTTTGTAAACTAGGCAAGAGTTTAGCAGTGTTCCCATAAAAGTTATGTGAACATGCTGTCTTCCTTGGGCTTTGTAGGGCTACAGGTTGCGTAACCGGCAGAGTCAGTAAGTGACTTACAAGCAAGTAGCAATCACGGTGTAAGCACACTGGACGAGAGGGTGAGCCACACCCCCCTGAGCCAGAGAGTACGCAGTATTATGCTACCCAGAATAGTATAATATAATACCTATTATTTATTCATGGAACTTCCCACTTAATATGTTCAGATCGATATCGACTACAGGAAACCTAGAGCACAAAAATCTAGTTCTAGATAAGGGGAGGGGCAGCTACATTGAGTGTGTAAGATTACATGTGCTAATATTGGTCGCTCGTTGATTACCCTGCCGTCTAAAATGGTTTCCAGTGAGCAACTTAACAAAGTGCACGGCACTAACCCTAGTGTGAGTGCTCGAGATGGACATGTGAATGGCGTCCTGACCAGGAAACGCTACGCAGCCAGGAGGACATTGTCGCACGTCCACCATCTGGCCAGAGGTGCCCAGGTTGACTGGACAATGTGTGAGCAGAGCCAGGGCATCACCGTTTTTCAAAGGACGGAGGGGAAGTCAGGTTTCTGCTCAGGGACTGATGGCATCTGTCCTCTGGTAAAGCCATGACGTCTGAGACCTCCTGGTGTTCTTGCTGCATTTAGCTTCTTCTGTCAGCTCCCAGCACAGAAGCCGTCTGAGAAGTCCCCAAAGGGACGGCTTACTCTGTTCCAGGACGAAAAGAAGAGCTCCTGGGGGAAACTGGGCTCCTTTCTGAGGGCGTGTCCGATCCACGCTGTGTGGGCAGTTGGGAGTCCTTGCCCTTGGTGCCCCCTTTCCCGACGGTCAGGAGACTGGACACCTGCTGCTTCTTCTCTGCTGCTGTTGGCTGGTGGGTTACTGTTTCCTAAATAAAGTTTAGTTCCTAAAGTGTTACCTTTCCAGAGCTTCCCAAGACCCGCCTTCGCTTTGGGTCGCTTTCAAAAGGGCACCACAGGCCTCACAAAACCGTCTATGTTAGAGATGGCGATCAGGTTGATCCGAGCAAGCTAACGTCAGCAAGGACAAGAGGAGCGTCCGGCAAACTCGAGGAGGGTCGAGGCACAACCCTCCATTGCCCTCTCCTGAGGAAGGTCAGTGCAATAGGGAATATAACATGTTTATCTGCCAGAATAAGAACTTAACACACAAAAGACTGGGGAGTCAGAAGCGTGGCAGGCTTCCAGGGGAAGAGAGGAGAAGAAGAGGGATTCGTTTCTCTTTGACATCCTTTATCTCCACCTGTCCTAAATTTCCTTATCCCCACCCTTAGGGCGGATAGCTCTACACTCTCCTAATGGGGAGGCAGAGAGCTGTGAGGGTGTGTGAAGTCACCTGAGTCTTGGCGTATGGAGGTCGGAAGGGACAACACGGGACAGTTGTAATTCTACCTGGTTCCTTCTTGCTTCCCCAGCTTCTCCCAAGTCCATGGTGCTACCACGCTGCCCAAGATCCCTTAACTGAAATGCCACTTTGGGGTTATATGATATGGCTCAAAAGCCAGGGACAAAAAAAAAAAAAAAAGACTCATTGCAGGCAGAATATCCCAGGAGTGGAGAGGCCAACTCTTAAGAGATGGTTGGGATCCAGGTTTTTCTCAGACAGTTCAGGGTCTCTATGCCTTCTACCTCACCCTGGGCGTTCAAGCTTTTATTGCGCATGTTCCGTGTTCCTGACAAATCCACCCTCAGCCGCCGAGTCACAGGCTTGAGTGTGAGGCTAGGCTCCTACAGAGAGAAGACGCATTCCGATCAACCGCAGGCGGGGTTGTAGTCCTTCTTTCTGCTATGGAAGAAAGCCGTGGTGCAGAGAGCGCTCCTGTGCAGAATATTAACAGGAAACTCACAAAGTTAATTTGCAAACTGCCTAAACTCAATTTCTTCTACCATGTTAGATGGCTAAGTGGACAAAAAAAATCTAGAAAACACATTTCTGGGAGAGAGAATGAATTTCTTGATATTAAAATTCCAAAGAAGAAGACTTTTTAAATCAGTTCTTTTCCTCCACTGCCCCTGTACTTTGAGGGTGTAAATTCTTAGCCTTTTTCAGTATGTTGGTTGAGGGGGTTTTGCACCAGAGATGTTCTTTGAGCCCTTCAGGGACCGTGGCAGCTGGTTCGTTTCAAGGATTCTTGCCAAGCACAATTGGGTCTCGCACGCGTCTAAACCAGAATGAAGCCTTTAGCTTGTGATTTCTGTAGTGCAGTTGACACCAGTTCATGTCTTTAACTTGAAGTGGAGAGAGATGGAACATCAAGAGCCACCTCAGGAGGAGACACTTTTATCCTCGTGTGCACTCATGCCTGGAAACTGCTTCAAATCCAAACTCAACCCCAGTGTGTTGGTGTTTGTGTGTTTGTGTTTGTGTGTGTATATTATGTTTGTGTTTCTCTCTCTCACTCTCTCTCGCTCTCTCTCTCTCTGTGTGTGTATTATGTTTGTGTTTCTCTCTCTCTCACTCTCACTCTCTCTGTGTGTGTGTGTGAAGGGAATCACTTTGGAGGTGATGTGAACTCTGTAACAGACTCTCCATTAGCACTGTGAATTGCAAAGTTATTTTTAAGGCAATAATTTCACTATAAACTCCCAAAGCTATCACTGAATCAAATCCAATGAAGAGGTTTTAGGTGTAAAACTAGTTATTAAGAATTTTATCTCATCTATAAACAGTCAGTGAAGCTAAGATGACTTCTCCCAAATCCCCAGTCCCTGATAAGAAAGAGAGAGAATCCAGGTAACATGAACACCAACAAAGTCTTTGCTGTTCCCTCAATTCCGGCCTACTTCATTCCATATCTTATTGAATTCGGAGGATTCCAGTGCTAGCCATGTAACCCAGGGCCTTGGACAAGCTAGGCAGGCACTCAACCGCTGAGCTGCGTCCAGGCTCCTCCTCCCCACTTTAGAGTTTTGACCCAACCCAAGTCAACACACTTCCCACGATGCTGCAAGGAGAGATCGAGTCATTTGTACTGATCTTGGCTATCTCCTCAATGCGCTTTGCCTGTTTAAAACAATCAAAGTCATCATGCTCTCAGGGCCTGTGTGTACTGAGGCATTAGATAAGAGCAAGGCACAGCTAACAGGAAAAACGTCTCACTGGGTCTGCGGGGTGGAAGGGGCCTTGCAGTGCACTTGGAAGTAAGTGCAGGGCTTGGGAGATGGCCCAGAGGTAGCAGCTGCTCTTCCGGAGGTCCTGAGTTCAATTCCCAGCAACCACACAGTGCCTCACAACCATCTATAGTGAGATCTGGTGCCCTCTGGTGTGTAGGTGGACATGCAGGCTGGGGACTGTATACATACGTCACAAAATAGATCTGAGGAAGGAGAAGGGGAGGGAAGAGAAGAAAATAAGTGAATTTGCCTCAATGCAGGAGAAAGGGGGGGCTGGAGAGGGGAAGGGGGTGAGTGGTTACTCTCTGTCATCCAAAGCATGTCCACTCTGTTCTGGATGTAAGATAACAGCCACTCAGGAGTTCAGGGCCACCGGGGACAGAAACTGATTAAGAATCTCCTTGTCACACACAAGGCATCTGGATACAAGCCTCACAGCTTTCTGCGCCCCACACAACACATCCTGCTGGCTCTGGTTCTTTTCCTGTCTGCCTTGAGATGGGAACACCTGAACCACGGGTCCCAGCTGGCCATGCCGGGTCCTCCACCAACCCCATGACACAAGAGGTGTGAATCTAAAAATTTTACAGCTGCCCAGCTGGATCTAAGCCCCGGAGCCCCGGTAGGGCTCTGATCCGATGGCCAGGTTCAAGGCCCCTCTGCCTTTCCCTGTCATCCTCCCATCGCCACGCCACGCCAGACTCACTGGTTGAGCGTCCTCTCAGTCGGCTTCCGGGGTAAGACCCAGCATCAGCGTTGTTTGTCAGCTCAGAGGGATTGACAGAGTCACCATCCACAGAACCGTCACAGTAGTCCCACCCAGACCAGCTGTCTCAGGATCTCTCCAGATTTCTCATTTACGCAGATCTCATGGGGGATTCCACAAAGGGAAGGCTCACGATCATAGATTTTGTTTCCTCCCCCACCCAACCCCCCATCAAAACAAAGCAAAGGAACTTGCTCCGATAATAGCCTTGGCTCCAATAAACAAAAGGGAAGATGATGGACTTTATGTGACTCAGCACACGGTTCGGCGACATCAAAACACCGCCACCTCTCGTCCCTCCCAAGTGATGCTGCACTCCTGAACACGTCTCTCCTCGGGCAGCCTGATCCACGGCAATACGTCCTTCAGGCAGGCCGCATCCTCTTGAGCACCTGGGGCTGGCAGCCTGTCCCGACTTCATGATACTAGCATCTGAACAGTCTCGGGAGGGGGAGCACAGGTGCAAGCCAGGTGCTGGAAGCCATTAAAGTGCTTGGCTTTGCCGTGAGCTCTGCTGTGTGGGCACACAGTATAATGAACATGAAGTTTGGGAGTCCAAAGGTTTCCTAAAGCCACATGGCCATCACACTGACTTCTGAGGAACTCAAGTCACTGAAGACCAGAGAATACAGGTGGTTGAAGACGGGGATTTCTGTCCCGCATGCTCCCACAGCCGCTTTGCCCTAAACAGACGCACAGATGTTATATTAATTATAAAACTGTTGGCCGACGGCTAGGGCTTCTTACTGGCTAGCTCTCTCTTAATGATTAACCCATAGCTACTAATCTATTTATCTCTACATGACCTCGTCTTACCAGACAATACCTGGTGCGTCCTATCTTCCTGGTCTCTACATGGCTTCTCTTTGACGTCTCTGTCTGTCTTCTTTTCCCCAGCATTCTCCTTATCTCCTAGTCCCACCTATCTTCCTTCCTTTACTGGCCAAACAGTGTTTTATTCATCAACCAGTAAGAGAAACATATATACAGAAGGACCCCCCCCATCATCTCCTCTTTTCTGTCTAAATAAAAGGAAAGGTTCCTTCCCCTGGTACCAGGACATGCTTTGGTCCAAGTCCAGTTCACCTTTTATTTTCTGCCTTGTACAGGGATAAGGAATGAGTGCTGGAGCCTTAGGAAATAAGTCATCTCCCTGTAAATAGATTCCTAGGACACTACTAAAAGAATCTGCATAGCAAGCTACATGCTAATAGCTTTCACTTATGCTTGCCCTAATGATGCCCAGGATCTTCCAGATTCATTACGAGGCCTCTCTGCTTCCCCTTTTTATTACTGCACTGTCTATTTTTTTTAAATTAGCAACACTTTGGATTCAACGTGTTACCTGATGGGTAACTTAAAAGGAACACTTGTAGAGAGTTCTTTCCTGTACAAGGTCAAGATGGTCCCCATCATTGTTTTAATTGCTCTCTGTCCCTGCTGTAGCTTATTTTCTTAAAGTACATGGGGGACTCATATTTTAGTGTTCCTGGATTCATCATGATTAAGGAATGGCATCAAGGGTACAGATGCACATGACAACCACGTGGGAGATCATGCTTCTCAGAGGCCAGTTATGATGGGAGAGAACTTCTGAGACAGCGGGTTAGCCTTGGGACACCAATGGCATCCCGCAGTGTCTGCTACTGTGTTGGTCTCATCTAGCAGCTTACAGCTTTGCCTTCCTGTCTGCCTTGAAACAGTCTCTCCTGAGCTCACCAGAATCTCAGTGATTCCAGCCAGCCAAGGGAGGACACTCCTGGGCCTGAGGATGTGACGGCAGTAAGCACCCACTCTGCAGGCTTCACCTGTCCTACCGTCTCAGACTAACTTTCATCAGAATCTGACTCCAGTGACCTGCCCACAGGCCTTTCTTTGTCTTGGTCCCCGTGCTTGACTATGAAAACACATATTCACTTAGTGCTTCGAGGCCTCACAGAGATGGATTTCCAAGATGTAGTCATCCACTGCTTGCTGAGAAAAAAAAAATATATGGTTTCTTTTTATGCAGCCATCCCTATGGATAACGACATCTGTAACACATTTGCTATCTTCCAATACAGGCACAAGTTCACTCTGAAATCCAGGTGTGTGGTCCTGAAGTCTCTCTGTGCTCGACTACTTGCAGAATCGGTTTATTATCCAAAGCCCAGGAATGGAATACTTGGCTTCTATCACCCGTGAGTTGAGTCAACAAGCTGAGTGATGACTGTGGTTCTTCTGTCTAATCGGCAACGGATTACCCATTTAGTGCTATTATTCCACAAACAGATGTGCCTTTTCAGTCTTCCTGCCTTCTTTGGAGAGCAGGGTTTCTGCCTAACTGTGTGCTCATAAGCTGCATCTGCTTCAAAAGGTATTTCTGAGCACACGCTGGCATCCCTGCGCACTGAGAGCCCAGAGACACGAACACAGCATCGTCGGGAACGGAGCCTCCGGCTCCGCACGTCAAGCACCAATTAGTTCCTATTCTCTGACAGCACAGCTCACACCCAGTGCAGTCATCCTCGGCGCTTTGATTCCGGGAGTTTCTGGAGCACCTGGAATTTACTTGAATGGGGCAGTGCGAGGTGCATGACAGATAGGCAAGAGACTTTCCACAGGCAGTCAGTAAATGCGGAGTTAGACAACAGACAGAGAAGGCTATGGTCCTCCATGCTAGTGTTTTGAATAACTAAGCCCATTAGCTGGTGTTTGGGCTCAACACTTCCCTTTATCAATAAAAAGGAAGCATTCACAAAGAACCAATATCTAAAGCACAACGGGGCAACTGCTTTGCCTTTGGGATTCCCCGATGAGCGTGAACAGAGAAAAACCTCACTGCTACACTTCTGAAAGAAGCCAGCACAAGCCGGCCACCAAATTATTTCTTTCCTTTTTTTCCTTTTAAAAAGTACAATGAGCTCCATAGGTCACCTTCGAAATACGGTGCATCCTTTCCCAGGAGTGGAGTGCGAGGGATCAAATGCCGGAGGAGGCAGCAGAGGCAATAAAGTGATCGCTCAGCAGGGTGAGGACTGTGCGCCTCTGGCCTCACCAGCGTCTGTGCTCAGAGCAAGGTCAGGAGAGCTCAGCGTGAGCCAAAGCTGTCCACAGCAGAGACCACTCACGGCCATGACCCTGGCACACGCCGGGGCCTGCCTGCCAGCTGCGAGCACTTCATCTCAAAGCTTCAGCCGCGACCTGCCCGGTTCTGCAGAGCAGGGCTCGCCCGCCCTGTAATTTCCCACTGAGTCAGGAGATCAAGTGAGAATTCCACTGATGTTTTTAAATAGTCTTGGCTCCAATAAGCGAAGGCGGGTGGAGATTTTGGAGTGCACCCATGTGGGCTGGCAGGGAGCTGCAGGTCTCCTGTTACTGGGGGCTGGAAGGACAGCCTTCTTCGGCTGCCTCCAAGCGACGCAGGTAACAGTCTCTTCGCAGGGCTTCGGGGAGGGGAGCCAGGGCACAAGTGTGATAATGATGAGTGTCATCTGATTATCGTCATCAGGAGTTGGCTTTCTTCTTGTGGGTGGGGAAAGTTGGCGCTGGAGTTTGTTGGGGGCGGGGAGGGGGGAGTTACTTGCTCCTTTAAGTATCGTGCTCGGACCTCCCCTGAGCATCTCCTGGGGGAAATCAGCAGGCAGCTGCACACAGCAAGCGACTGAGCCGGGATTCGGCAGCCAGTTCCTGCCCTGGCGCTGTATTGCCTTCTCCGTGTGAGAGGGGACAGAGAAGAGGCACTGGGGTTAGATGGCTGTATGGCAAGCTGATGCAGCACCCCACCTGTGTTCAAGGCTTTTGGGGCTCGGGGGAAGCTACACCAGGGTCTTGGCATTCTTGCTTGATGGTGTGATCTCCGCTGAACACACTTGGTGACGGTCCATGAGGATGGTGTGGCGTGTCTCACCCAACCCTGGTCTACTTGGTAGAAAGCCCAGGATACCGTCTCTCATCGAGCCACCCCGGGCCCCACGTCCTGGCTAGAGGAGGGGCTATTTCATAAAAGCTCAACTCGACTGAACCGGGAGCACTAATACGAGATGAACTAAAGAGCCTTGCCCGAAATCTCAGCTGCTAGGTCTTGCTCTTTGCTTATACTGTTTTCTGTGGACCGTGTGCCACACATCAGAGCAACCTGCTCTCGGTGGGACTGGGGGCGCCTTTTCCACTGCCACTCCTTTATCCTGATCGCTTATTTTACAGATTCATTTAACTTCGCTTGTGTATGGGTGTCTTGCCTGCACGCATGCATGTGTGCGTGCGTACCACAGGCATACCCGGTGCCAGAGGGTGCCAGAAGAAGATATCAGATCCCCCTGGAACTGGAGTTACAAATGGTTTTGAGTTAGTTAGCGTATGGGTGCTGGGAACGGATCCCAGGTTCCCTACAAGAACGGCAAACGCTGAGCCATCTCTCTGGCTCGCCTATTTTAACTCTCCAGGTAGATGTTGGCATTGGGATGACTGTGAGAGCCTGTAGCCCCAGCTCATGCTCACTGCTTGCCCTTGCCACACCCATGGAGCCAACTGCTATGCTCTCTTAACATCAAAATAAGGGCCAGTGTAAAACCATTGTGGAGCAGCCTTAGCACGCCCTTACGTGAAACTCAGACAGCAAACATTCATCTTTTCTAAATTCACAATGGGCAATTACTTTGTGCACGTGGCACGTCCTCACCACCCCTCACTCCCACATTATGATACCAGGGTCTTGGCATTCTTGCTGGATGGTGTGATCTCCGCTGAACACACTTGGTGAGGGCCCGTGAGGCCTGGTGGGGCGTGTTTCACCCAACCCTGGTCTACTTGGTAGAAAGCCCAGGATATCATCTCTTGCAGAGCCACCCCGGGCCCCACGTCCTGGCTAGAGGAGGGGCTATTTCATAAAAGCTCAACTCGACTGAACCGGGAGCACTAATACAAGACCATGGTTTCACTTCTCTCCAAGAGAGACAATGAAGGCAGAAGGGGGCTCTTGAGCTTTTGGCCGCCAGAATCCACAGCAAAGAAGCACGGGACGGGGGCGGACTGGGAAAGAAGGCTGACACCCCCACATTGAAACCATCGTGTTTATTATCCGAAAGCTATCGTGCCATCCCTGTGGTCGCCGGCACAGGCAACGATGGTGAGTCCCACACAGACCCTGTAGGTATCTTAACGGAAAACTTCCCTGTGATCACTTCCCCCTCAGACCAAAAGAGACAGCTTTGCCTGTTTGGTCCCAGCCAGCTCCACGGCGCCCTCTGGTTGTCTTGAGGGAAGCTCGCTGGAGTCTTGCATAGGAACTTGTCTTGCTATTGCCATCTTGCTGCAGGCTACTGGCTGGAGTGGAAGCCTCCCGAAATCAAGACGACTTCCACCCTTCACAGGATACTTGGTGTGCAGTGCGCAGCAATCACAGACTTGACCTTGGGATTGTGTTGCGTTTGACCCATTTAAACCTCACCGTTGGAGTAATCTGCTCCTTCTGGTAAAACCCAAAAGCCTGCTCCCAATCACGTGTCAAGTGAGGTGAGCCTAGCTCAGTACTAAAGACAGACAAGGTTAAAAACAAATGCCCCACCTGGTCAGATGAGCCACAGAAGCTTAGCAAGCAGGGGCCCAGCACGGACAGACACCAACGTTAAAACGCTCAGACGGGAGAAGTACCCCAGCTGACAGAGGCCAGGTGAGGCTGACTAGCATCCGTGGGTCTGACGTCCGTGCGCCTGCTGCTCACATCAGCTGTGTTTTTTGTCCTTCAAGTAGCTGTAGAGCATCTCCAGCCCACCCTCAACCAGCTCCGGCAGGGGCTTGGCTAAAGGGTTGTGGGAAATGTGCAGCCCCTTGTCCATGGGATTCCACGCAACCCTCCCCAGTCTGCAGAGCAGGTAGAGCTCGTCTGGCAGGGTCTGGATGTCATTGTTGTCCAGGTTCAGCAGCTCCAGGCTGGTGACTAGGCAGAGCGACCTGGGGAAGGAGTGGATGTTGTTGCTCTCCGCGATGAAGATCTGCAAGCTAGCCAGGCACTGGATGCTCTCCGCGATGTTCTCCAGGCGGTTGGAGCCCACATGCAAGAAATCCAGCCCCCTCAGAGAGAAGACGCAGATGGGGATGTGGGCAAAACAGTTGTTGCTGAGGTTCAGTTTCCGCAGCCTGGAGAGGTCTGCAAAGCTGCCGGGGAGCTGGGACAGGCAGTTGTGGGACATGCTCAGCACCTCCAGGTTCCTGCACAGGCTGAGCTCGGCGGGCACCTCCGCCAGGCAATTCATGTTGAGGAACAGGACCTTGAGGTTCTGGAGGAGGCTGACTTCTCTGGGGAGACTCTTGAGCCGATTCCCGCACAAGTTCAGGACCACAATCCGTGTCAGCCTGCCCACCTCGGGAGGGAGAACTCGGAGCTGGTTGTGGGACAGATTGAGTTTCTGGACTTCCAGCAAGCCCCACAGAAAGTCTGGGATGTCTGTCATTCCTTTGGTGACCAAGCTGAAGCTGACGTGACGCATGCCACGCTTCAGCAGGGACCGTGGGTCCTTCCCCAGGAGCAGGGCGTCTTCCCACGAAGAGAACTTCTGTCTCCTCCCTGGCAGCAGCCTCTTGGGGTCCTTGTCTTTGGAGCTGGCCCTCGAATGCTTGGCTCCCATTGGGTCTTCCTTTCCTCCTTCAAGGGTAGGGTTTTTTCTTTCTGCCTGAGTTCCCAAGTGTCAGCCTGTGGTGGGCAGGGACAGTGTGGAGGTGAACTTGGCAGCGTATAGCCAAGGGACTCTAGCGTTGGAGGAAGCTTGTCTTGCAGAGGACCTGATGGAATCCTGACTGGCTGCAGGCAAGCTGTGCCTGTTCCTGGGAGGGTGTGCTGAGGAGGTTTCTCTCTGAGTGGACAGGCTGTAATGATACGCTTGTCTCTGAGGTTTCCAAACAGAACTGCTCCACTTCCTCTGTGCGCCACGAGGCAGCTGTCGCTGTCATTCTGCTTGAGTTTTATCGACCCGGAGTGTGAGCGCCCGCGCGCTCGCACGCACTGTTTACCCGGCAGTTCCGTATGGCTTTACTCTCTCGGCTCTTCTTGGGTATCACATTTGAGAAGGGCGAATAATGACAAGCGAAGCTAGAAGAAGAAACGAAGTAGAAAAAAAAAAAAACGCTGCCGACCACAACCAACGGTGATCCCCCTGGCTGAGGGAACTGATCCCGGCGAGGGTGACAGTCTGTGGCCTGCCTGGGCGCTACCCGTGGAGTCAGGTTTCCAGAGCCGAGGATCATCAGATGTTGTCACTGTGCCCACTGCAAGTGTCAATGAACTGCGCTGGAAAAAAAAAAGAAGCAACAGCAGGCTGGACACACTGGCCCCCACCCCATCAGAGCATGGCACTGTGCCTTGCAGGGTGACTCAGGAGGGTCAGGTTCCTTCAGTGCCTTCTCGGCAAGCAGGAGCTCTGGTCCCTCTGATGCACGACAGAACAGACACTTCGAGCACGGGACACCCATTATTCGGAGGGATAGTGTCACCCTTCCTGACTACCTACCATCCCTCCATGCCGGCCCCCCACCCCCACAAAGCTAATTCTATCCTAAGTGTGTAGGGTTCACTGCCAGTGTTACAGGCTGAAGTTTATCTCCCCAAGTTCATGTGACTGAAATCCTGATCCATCCAAATGCATTCAGTGGCAAAGTCGCGTGAGGACCCAAGAAGGAGATGGATTCCTTTAAGCCGAGGAGGCGTCTCCGAGGAGGCTTGTCCCCTGAGCTCAGCATCCTGCCCTCTGATCCGTGAACAAAGAAAACATCTGTGGTTGACCTACACCATCCAGGGCCACTTCTGGGTGTGAATAGACACTTGGTGTAAGTGGAAAATACTGTATTTCTATGAGCGGAAGGAGATGGGCCAGCAAGGCGATGACATAGTTCTGAGGAAGAGGCCGGCAGTCTTGGCGATTAGCCCAGGAGTGCGTGGCTCTTGTTGGCCCCACCCAGGCCAGCATGAGCTGCTATAGACCAGGGCTTCTCTGTGACCCTGACCTTTTTGGGCTGCCCACCACCAGCCCAGGAGCTCCGAGGGATTCTGCATGGGAGCCGCCCAGGAGCCTGCCAGTGTATCCCTGCACTGGATGAGGGGCCCTCTCGGGGCAGGAAGGGTCACAGTGGAGTGGGGTGCTGCTTCTGTCTCCTCTTGGCTTTGCAACACCAGTGCGCTGAGTCAGTCCCAAGATTCTATGATGGAGGCATAGACTTTGGGAGTCCTTTGTATGAGAGATTGGATGTATGGGCTATTAGTTGAAAGAGAAAAACAACAGTATGGCTAGATTGTTTTTACCCTAATATTAGGATGGCAGCTGTCTATGAGAATTCCATAAAACAATCTTGCTGCTGTTTAAAAAAAAATAGCGAATTTCTTCTTTCTTTACATAAGCGTGGGGGCACCTTAACCTTCAGCACCAACTGGAGCCAGGACGGCTTGAAACAGCTTTCCTCTTTGTGATGACTAGCTTTGTACATTTCTCCAACAACATCTGTGAGCATTTCCAGGAAGTCAGCGTCCGTTTGCTGTTAACCGTGTGAAATCAGAGCACGCTGCACGTGCCGGCGTAGAACGGATGTCTGAATCCTTGCCGTTTTGCAGATGTGGAAGCAAGGTCAGCTTACTTATGCAGAATTAACTCACTGCCCAGGGTCAAGGGGACAGCAGCGGGCAAAAAGGATGCAGACTCAGCTAACCCAGCTCCACAGCCCAGGCAGAGACCACAAGAAGGCTCCAGCTTAGCCCTGTAGAGATAGCATTAGCAATGTGAAGGAACACGGCTCCTTGTTTTCGAGTGCTGTGAAGCAGGACTAGAAGACCATCGTCAGCACTGACGGCGTAGATGCACCCATAGAAATAACATCATCAGCCATTAAGCCTGCGCACCGTACCAACATCACCAAGAAGAGGAAAGTATTAAAAAGTCCAGAAAACTTCAGTGTGCGCAGTTTAAACACTTATCACGTTTAATGGGTCCTGGCTTCCTCATCTGCTGTCTGCAGGAATGGCTGTCCAGAGCGCTCCTTCCTCCCTCCATCTGAGCCCCTCAGCAAGTGAGAGACTTCCCGTGAGAACGTGAAACCCATTTCTATTGGCTGCTTTTCCTCCCTGCTGTTACCAGACACCTAACAGAAGAAATTAACCAAGGAGAGGTTTTGTTTTGTTTTGTTTTGGTTTGGTTTTTGAGACAGAGTTTCTCTAGGGAACAGTCCTGGCTGCCCTGGAACTCGCTCTTGTAGACCAGGCTGGTCTCCAGCTCACAGAGATCCACCTGCCTCTGCCACCCAGGTGCTGGAATTAAAGGTGTAAGTCACCACCTCCTGGCAAAATTGTATTTAAAGCAATTTCTAGTGCCACCCACGTTTTCACAAAACAAAACAAAATCAGAGCTTGAGAAAGAAAAAATCAAAGAAGCAAAAGCAATCATTTGCTTGCTGTAGTAGACAAAGGAAAAACAAACTGTGTGTGAAGGCTTGGGAAAATAAGGCCTGTACGGGATTTGCTTCCTGCTAATACAGCTTTTGCTTTCCTGATTTAAAAACAAAAGGATTCTAGAGGAGGCTAAAAATGTTTAACATAATCCAGATCTCTTATTAAGCATACCGAATTGTATCACACACAAATTCATGTTCAGGTTGCTTACTTATTTTATTTTATTTTTATTCTAGTTCATGGTTTGGAAGAATTTAAGCGCAGTCCATCAAGGTAAGGGAGGGAGGCATGCATCCAAGGCTGCAGGACTATTTGGGCTGGAAAGCAGAGGAGTCAGAGTGGAGACATCATCCCTCAGGTTTAGAGTCTTGTCCCTGTGGTCTGACATTTTTCCAACTAGGTAAAACATCCAAACGTTCCCACCATCTCTGAAAGCTGTGCCAAGAGCCAGGAACCAAGTGTTGAAACACAGGAACCAGTGGGAGATACTTCAAATCCAAACCATCATACAGCTTCACCCTTGACTGGATAAAGGCATGAGAAATCCAACAAGGCTTTCGTTTTAGGGAATGTGCTAGTGAAATATTGGTCAGCCGACACAACCTCGGGTCTTCTGAGAAGAGGGGACCTCAATGGAGAGAACGCCTTCATTAGACTGACCTATAGGCAAGTCTTTGGTTAATGACTGACGTGGGGGAGGGGGGCTGGCCCACTGTGGGCGGTGCCAACGCTGGACCAGCGGTGCCAGGTCCTATAGGAAAGCAGACTGAGCCATTCATGGAGAGGACTCCAGCTGGCCCGGCTCTCCCATGGTTCCTGCCTGAGTTCCTGCCCTGACTCCCCTTCAAGGCCCAAGCTGTGAAGATGAAATAAACTAAACAAACCCTCCACTCCATGGCACTTCAGGGTTCCCTGCGGAGCTCCCACATGTGGCTTATGCCAAGAGAGACTTTCGAAGGACTCTCTAGGCAGGTTTCCAGTCGGAAGAGACTTATTACAAGGAAGCGCTGCTGCTGACCACATTTTTGAATGTGTTATGAGACTGTCTGTAAAGTCTAAGGAGGCCAAAGAAGTGTGTCGCTTACACCTGCATTTTTAATTGCATTTCTGTAACCTAATTGATTACTGTCCTAACATATGAAAAAAAATCAACATTTTTTTTAAAAATCTGAAGTAAAAATAAAACCAAAGTAACCAGAGTGTAAAACAACGGCTCACATAAATGTTCGAAGCTATTCTCGAATTCAAAATAATGGAACGCCTACTAAATGCCAGTGTTTAAGCCCAGGTGTGGTAGCACCCACCTTTAATCCCAACAATTGGGAGGCAGAGGCAGGTGGATCTCGTTGAGTTCAAGGCCAGCCTGGCCCACAGAGTGAGTTCCAGGACAGCCAGAGCTGCACAGGGAAACCCTCCAGAACAAAAGAAACCAAACAAACGAAAACACTATTTTGAGATCAGAAAGACCTAGTCTGAGAGTCAACCAAGCATTTGCCCAGCCAGTCTGAAGCTACCGGGACCTACATGGCGAGGCAGGAAGTGAGATAACTCAGGCTTTCATGACTTCTAAAACTTCCTTCGCCCATCCCAGAGGGGCAGCGCCCTCTGCCCCCCCCACTGACCTGGTCCTTTAGCTAGTTCAGCATCTAAGGTGGTTCCATAACGCTTCCAGGGACTTCTGGGGACCAAGCTTCCGATGTGGGCCACAGGGAAACCAGCCTCGCCCGAAACTCACCACTGGAATTAGATGACGATGATGATGATGATGATGACGACGACGACGACGACGATTGAAAAGAGCAGACTGGGAGCTGGGCAGTTGGCTCCGTCAGCACAGCGCCTGTCACATGAGCCTCCGTCTGCATCTGTAACCCCAACACTGGAGGCAGTATAGTGATGAGCGCCAGGGTCAGTGAGGAATCCCATCGCCCCCATATAAAGTAGAGGCCTGGAGAAATGGCTTGTCGGGTAACGGTGCTAAGCCCCCGAATTTGATTCCTCGGGCCTGCGGAACAGATGCCCCGTGGGGGCACGTCTGTGAGAGGTGAGCAAGGCAGAGCGCCACGCCCACCAAGCTGCCTCCAGGTGGAAGGCAAGAACTTGCAGGAGGAGGCTTAGGACTGTGCCATTAGCCACGGTGATAGGGCGGTGCTAACCACACCCACTTTGCGCATGACTGGAGACAGGGCGGTGAACTACGCTAGAGGCGTGTTCCGAGGTTCTTATAAAAGGCTGTGCCGGCAGAGCCACGCTCTCTCTTTTCGGCTTCCGGTTCGGTGGCGAGAAAGCTGCTTGACTCATCTGGGTTGCCCGTTTTCTCTTGTGAGTAATTCCTACAATAAAAAATTTCCTACACCCTCAACGCGTGTGCCGGTTATCGTTACAGCTACAAGAACTGACCACCAAATGTCCTCTGGTCTCCACACACATGCTCATGCATGTCTGCACCCACACATATACGTGCGTGCACAGGCCCTAAACTAATAGGATATTTTTAAGATGGGGAGCCATAGAGAAAGATACCCAACATTGTCCTCTGGCCTCCGTATGCTGTTGCACCCATGTCTATGAACACATGCATGACACGTGTACACACCTACATGAACACACACTGCATTCATGCATGCACGGTCAAGTACACACACACACACACAAAAGCAGACCGAAATAATCACAAGAAAATACCAGGAGGTCAGAAGCCACACACACACACACACACACACACACACACACACACGCCCACACGCCACCGGAGTCACGCCGAGTGTTCTTCCTGCGTTAGGTTTGTATTTCATCCCCATCTGTAAACGTCACACTTTCCTCAGGGTCAGTCACACCCACAGCTGCAGAGCGTTGCTGGCGCATCTTTCGTTCACTTTCTGTGGACGGCAGATTCGGGTTTCCCAGCTATGCCTGGCATGTCTGTGTGTACTGCGTGATGTTCCTCAGACTCGCAGAGCTGGTCTGTATACCTCACACCAAGGAGGGAGAGACCAGGCTTCAGTGAGTGTAAACACTTGGACGCTGCAGTCTGGCATGCTTGCTTATCACAGACACACGCACACACACACACACACACACACACACACACACACACACACACGTGTCCCAGCAGTACTGAGGCGGCAAATGCTTCCCCGGGGCTTCACAGCACTGTCCCTTTCTGTCCCTGCTCCTCGCGGCTATTGCCACGCATGCTTCATAAAGGACAGGCCCTTGAGGAAGCCTTCCTCCACTACCTGCTCTCCTCCAGAAGACCCTGGGCATCCCTTGTTATCTCCTGGACTCGGTATCACCCGCCACCATCACTGGATATCAGCTGAGCCGCTTTTGCCTACCAGGGGTCATTTAGCAGTGTCTACAGGTGCAGTTTGACCACCCACTGTGACACGTACTCCTGTCATTCCAGTCATAACCCTATCCTGCTGCTAACCGATTACAGTCCCACTGCAAGGAATCACCCAGCCCAAATCCCAGTAGTGAAGATGTAGAGAAACCTGTGTGTGGGCATCAACAGTGTCCACCACCAGACAGGGGCATTTGTAGCTAAATGTTATATACTTCCTGTGGGGTCCCTTTTGAGGTCAGAATATTGCTTAGGGGTTCATCTAGACAGCAAATAAAAAAATCATTATGATACTAAGTCCCAACTTGCCCAGAGTGTGAAGTCTGACATTCCGTTTAGGATATAAAAGCCACCGTAAGGCAGGTTCATCACAGCACCAGCCTGTCATAGAAAGGCCCAGAAATCACTGGGCTGGTGCAATTCTTGGGAAACACTACTGGCCCACCTTTTAGGAAATCTTCCCCCAACTTAGTTTACCTTTCAGAGAACGTTGCTTCCAGAAAGAGATCCATTTCATGATCCAGAAACTTCCTCCCAGGAAACCCCTTCTCTGTCAGACTGACCCTGGTCCAGGCTTCTTTTGCCTGCACCTCCCTGTTTATCCTCCGTGCAGTGAGCAAACAGAGCAGGTCTTCTTTGGGCCTGACCCAACAGAGGGCATGCTGTGATTGACAGCACTAAGTTCTGGGCTGGGCGTGAATCAGGACGACAAAGGGCTTGCCCGCCGTGCACAAGACCCCGGATTTGATCCACGGAGTTGCAAAATAAGTCAGTAGGATAAGTAAATAAATCTGGAAAGACACTTTGATTACAGACTGGGAGAGTAATCAGATACTGAATCATCATCTTGCTTGTCAGATTTATTTTGGAAAGCAAGGTCACGAGTGTAAGAGCAATTGAGACTCTAGCCAACCCTTAAATCAAGGACAGAGCTTTGCTAAAGACCAAATCTCCTTTTAAGAAGTTAGAAACTGATACAATGTTTTAGGATATAAACTGGTGAGTGGCTAAACAGATACAATTTCGTTAGAAGTCAGGGAGATGCGAGTCAGTTACACGACCCCTACTAACCTTGAACTTTGTGAACGGGGAATTCACGACAATCATGGTGTGTTTCACTCCTGTGCTTCATAAATCCCAAGCTGGAGTCTCTTTCCCGAGACTCTTCAAGCTCCCCGAGACGGTCTGTGTGGCCAGAAGAGGCTCCTCTGTCTGCAGGGGCCTGGAGGCAGAGCGCAGGGCTGAGGGTTCCTGTCTGGCTTCAAAGGGTGAGGAGCCAGAGCAGCTGGTGAAGTCCTTGATATACAAGCATGATGTCCTAAGTTAGGATTCCCAACACACAGGGTCCGTCCAGCTGTGATGCTGCACAGCTGTGACCCTAGCCCTGGGGAGCACAGACAGGTGATCCTGATTGCCCTCTATGCCAGCTAGGCTAGTGAGCTCCAGGTTCTACGAGAGATCCTGTCTCAGAAACTAAGAGAGCCATCCAAAAAGACATCCGAAGAGAGCTCTGGCCTACGTCTCACACACACACACACACACACACACACACACACACCAGTATGAGCACACACATACCCCCCAATTTAAATTTAATAAGTATACAAATTTAAATTTAATGAGTATATTAAAGAGTTAGATTTGAAAGTCAGAGATTCTAGGTCGGGTTCCTTGCCTTCCCACTTCCTAGTTGGTGAATTGAGTCCAGTTACTTTGCACTTATGACTCTCAGTCCCCCCCAGGGATATAAAAATGGCATGGATACAAATAATAATAATTTGGGGTCGCTAGGAGATTTGAATGAGGAGAGACAGGTGAACTAGGCAGCATGGGTAGAGACGGGTAGAGAAGTGATTGCTAAATACTGACAGTAGAGGGCGCTGTTCCTCCTCGCTGCGTGATGTCAGGTATGTTGTCTCTATTGCGCCTTAGCCGGTTTTAGAAACTGGCAATGGAATATTTGAGGCCTGCAAGATGGCTCCGTGAGCAGAAGCACCCGCCCCGGAATCACCAGATCTGACTACCTGAGTGGATCCCCGGAGTTCCAGCTCTTGCAAGTTGCCCTCCGACCTTCACACAGGAAAGGCGGCGGCACACGTGCGCAAAAAGAAGCATGAAAACGATAAAGGAAAAGGAATAGGGCGCCCATGCTGCGGGCCCTGTGTGGAGGGTCTGTGAGTGACAGCTGTCACTGTTGCCACCGTGGGCATCTCTGCCCTGGCAGTTACTTGAGTTTTAATGATTGCCGATTGGCCGACAGACAGAATGAGATGAAGGCATTCCATACTTCAAGACATCTATGGGAAGACTGAAATTATATAAAAGCTGTATCTGCACGGGGCAAGGACTGAAAAACAGAAAAATAATAATAAAAAAACATTGTTTGGGCGTTCAGCATGGGAGTGAAACTTTTAAGTTTTCCTTTAACGTTATTGTGTGTAACCACAATGTTTAACCTTTTGCAAATTTGTCAGAGCACCATAATAAATCCCCATCCATCCATCCATCCATGCATCCATCCATCCATGATCATCTCCGCTCATAAATAATAATTATATTTAATCACACAGAGAAATGATCCAAGGCCTTCTTGTCCTTTTCAGGCACCGGGCAGGCACACGGTAGGATTACATTATGTGCAGTCAAGACATTCGTACATAGGAAATACGGATAAACACACTCGTTAACAAAGAAAAGGAGCATTTGCTGTGTGGTCAGGAACGGGGACCGCCACCAGGGAAGTACCAACAAGAAGACAAGCCCATCTGTGGGGGGTGGGGGGCTCATCTTGCCCGTCAACTGGAACACATCTGCAGTTAACTAAAACACAAACTTCTGGGTACACCTGTGAGGGTGAATTGTTTGAAGTGGGAGACCACTCTAAGTCCAGATCTTTTGATGGGGGAAGGGCTACCTTAAGCCTGGACCATTCCTTGCGGTGACAGCCTATGCTAGACACGGGGCACAGGAGAAGAGAGTCCTTCTCTTCTCTCTGCCTGCTCGCCCTCTCTCGCCCTGGCAAGTTCATCCGTCGCTGGTATTAGAGCCTCCTTCTTCAGGAGTCTGGCCCATACTGAAGACGGGCCTGAGACGTCTGCCTTGTGGATGAAACAGCTACGAGCTTCTTAGGCCGTCGTCGGGGTGGTTGGGATATAGCCTGTAAGCCACTCTGATAAATCCCGTTTGTTTCTCTAGAGTACCCCAACTAATACAGCATCCGTAACGAGTCATTTCATTTGGGTTGTGATAAGTGCAAACCAAAGAACGAAGGCCTGCCTGGTGGGTGGGGGTATGGGGAGGGGCAGGAAAAGCCTGGTGGGTTGGGGCATGCGGGGAGGGGCAGGGAGAGCCTGGTGGGTGGGTGGGGCTTGGGGAGGGGCGGGGAGAGGTGGGAGCTAGAGACTGAGCCCTGAGACAGGAGACCACACAGGATCCTTAAGATAATCTTGGACAAGGAAAAGAGTATTCGTTTACATGAAGATTTTACTTACAGTGAGATAAATCCGATATTTTGATGACATCCATAGATTCCTTCAGCATTAATTGTATACTTTAAAAATTGTATGGATAATCAGGTGTGGTGGCATGTATCTATAAAT